GTGTTTGTTCTTGATATGTAACATCAGCAGACACAAGGTACCTGGTAAGATTGGGACAGTAACATCGATACCCTTTTTGCACACGAGAATATCCAAGAAAGAGGCACTTTAGAGATTTGGGATCAAGTTTTGTACTATGAGGTCAAACATCCCGAAAGTTTTGCGACTGAAACCCTAGCTGGGCTGGACGGCGGCGGAGAAGGAGACCTATGGTGTCTCTGATACCATATAATTTAGTACCGAGAGGAAGGGAAAGGTAATTTCACTTATCTCATTCATAGAATCCTTGTGTGTATATATACAAGAGACTTATACGATTTTAGGGTAGATCCCTAACATAAGAACCTATAAATTAGGGCACAATGCATTTACTTTCCTATAATAGAAATAATCTCTAACAATTTGTCTTGACTCTTACGCCTCAAAGCGCCTTGAGGTTTACGCTTTGCTCGCAAAGGTGAAACACATAACCTTGGTAACCGATTAAGCCTTTTTAAACGTTGCCAATTTATATAAGGTATCTCGATTATATTATAGACTCATTCCCATTAATTAATATATGAAATCCCAGAGTGCAATTCTCCTGCCTATTAAAAAGATGCATTGCAGCTTTAGGCAAAATACAACACTAATACTTAGCAAACTCGACTTCAAGGCCCCAAAAGTTTTCCATTATAGAGGAAAGATGAAAAAACATGAACTACACTATTGCATTGATGTACTTGAAGGTGGTTCGTTTGATCGGTTAAAAGGGTTTCATTTATCATCAACCTCTGTTTTAGATTAACAAACTCAGATCTTATAAAAGGGTGTCATTATAAAAGGGTGTCATTACACTTTGCCATGATAAATTAGTCCAAGTAATAAGGGTAATGAATCATCGAACTCTCCAAATGTAATCAATGAATTTCATAGTTGCCATCTTAAAGAAGAGAACACAAAATGTTGTGGAGTCATAGGCCATTACGATGGGGTATGGCATGTTGATCTCTCATTGTTACCATGGCCAGATACATGTATCATAAAACACAATACCTTTTGGATTCCTCGCTCCAGTTTTTCTTCTCCGTAACTATAAACACCTCTAAAAAACCAGATCCACAACATTAAAAGTTTTGTATTTGGTGGATTGTGATAATATGCATATGCACAAAGTAAATAACCTTGTTTATGAATGGTATTGAGCCGGAGAGTTTTGCAGCCAAGCAATAAAATAATATATCTTCTGATTCAGAACATGCAACCATGATAAATTAAATATTTATATATTATTCTTTCGAGAGATGCCAATAATACATTAGCCAAAGCAATCTTTTATGTTATTTACGGGTGAGGTAAGTTTACCAGATTATGCAAAACCTATAGATTGTCTGGACTGTAACTTCGAAGTCAGGAGGTAGAGATGTCATGCATCAACAAGGTGTTTTTGGTAGTAAGCAAGTACCTGAGGTCAATTATGATGCTTCTTAGAGTTTAAAAGGGTGGAAAAAGTTAGATCTATTAGCCTCTCTCTTTTCTTTTAAGAGTCAAAAGTATTTTGTTGTTTTCAACAATTGTTGGAGGTGGAGTAATATCCACAGGCCATTTAGATACTTGATCAGGAAAAGTCCTGTTTGGTCTAAGGTAATCTTTAGTAATCAAAGGTTCTAAACATTTAATTTACTATTTAGAGTCGAATTCCTTGTTTTAGGAGGAATGTTCTAGGTATATCCTCTTTAATTGAACAGAGTTCATTATTACGCGAATTTGGTTAGTGTGATATTTTCCAACCCTTTAGAAGATATGTAATCTCTTCTGGTTACTCTTCTATAAATCTTCTTTTCTCTCAGTTGTAGAATTGCATATTTTTCATATAACTTAATAGCACCCATTCCAGGGCACAAAACTGCATCTGAATATCCTCTTTATCTCCTTAACCCAAAAAAATTTCTTCCTTAAGTCCCCACACTCATATTAAATTACTGATTGAGGGGAAGTAGTTTAATCCATACATGTCCGACATCACCACTGGAGGGTATTCATGCTTCAGCACATCCTAATAAACTAAATTCTCAGTCTTGTATGGTTTTTAACAATGCTAAATGATATCATTACAGGCAAAAAATCAGTCTGTAAAGCGCTTAGCTGGAAAATTTTGGAGTGTCTCATTTTTAAACCAAATTCAGGAATTAAGAAAAAGGATTTCCATACTTCATGACTGCCTCTGTGACTCGTATATAAAAACTAAGAATCCATCTGTTGGGAAGCTTATATATTGGAAGTCCATAACTGACTGCTTCATACATATATCCAAGGACCCAATGTGTTGGGAGGCTGACCTAATGAGAAGTATATATGTATAAAAGTGCATGATCAGTTTTAGAGAGGTATGTGTTTCTGGCCCTCGTTTGGGAAGCCAAGTGGGATAAATTTTCATTCCAGCCTAGTAGAAAATCTGGAAAAAAAGGGAACAGGCACCTTTATTCTAGGGGATAAGTGATTTGAATCTAGCAAAGACAAATTTCTCATAATCTTTTAACAACATACAAGCAAATGAATTAAAAAATAATAAAATTCAAACTCAACATGAGGAAAGGAGGCCCATGTCACAACCTGTGATGCTCAGACTCAGGTACAGGGTACATTTCTAAGTGTCGAATCTTTTATTTTCTAAAATGTACAATACGGAAAATTGACTAAAAATAGTCCAAATTTTGGATACGGGTACGTGGGTACATCTTTTGAACTTCAATTTTTTTACTAATTCAAGATGTTATTTTGAATAGACCAAAATCAATTATTCATTAAGAATGAATTGGGTATTGAATAAGGGGTTAAGACGAATAAAATTGAATTTGGGGTTTTGATTTTCAATTATGGAATTTAAAAAATGAATAAAATAGAATTTTGGGGTTTAGTTTCAATTATGAGATTACTAAATGTTATATAAAATAGAAAATGAAAGACTTGATTGTAATTTGAACTTAGTGGAGCACTAACTAGCACTATATGGAACCATTTTTATTTTATACCAAAAAAACCCTAAATCACCGATACAAAGAGAGAAAGAAGGGAAAAAAGAAGAAAGTTGAAAGAAAAAAGAAAGAAGAAGAAAAAGAAGGAAAAAGCTAGCGTCGCCGCCTTTCTCCACCCTCTCGACGGCGACTCTAGGTTTGCAGAGAGCAAAAACGAGAAAGAAGAAAAGAAAAAGAAAAAAACAGAAAAGAGGTTTGCATCAAATTGGGCCTCTCAAGTTAGATTGAAATAACCTAGTTCGAGTTATGTAGTACAGCCTAGGACCAATCCATTCTTGAGTTTGACAAAACAGAAACTAAATATAAACTTTATAGCAAGAAAGCACTATTGTCCTTTGGAAAGAGAATAAAGTTTAAGTTGCACACTTCTAAGACTGACATGAGAAATAATCCTTATCAAATAATTTGGGATCGGTAGCATTATGCAAGCTTTAGTAAAGTTACTTCATTAGGCTAAGGGGTTTGATCCCATGGCATAGTTATGTGGCTCATGAGGATAAAAGGGATAGAACTGCTATTAAGAGACTTAGCTGCCTGTGTTAGAACTCAACCTTTTTATTATTCTCTTTTTCTTACTTTTAGAGTACAATGCATGCACTTAAGCAACAACAACTAACTAAGCCTTGCAGTCCCAATGAACTTGGGATTTACTGTATGTGCCTAACATCATATAAGTAAAAACGTTAGCTGACTACATATTTTGGACTTTGGAAAAACATGAGCTGAAATTTTTGGGATGGTAAACAGTAAAGCCACATATTTTCTGGCATAATCTTAATGCGAAGTTCCATGAAAATCTTGAAAAACTACATAACAATTTTTTGTTTTACAAATGTAATTATCAATGATAAAACTTGAAGCCACCGTTGTCTAAAACAAAAGGCATTTATTGACCAAGTCTCCATTTGGATACAATTTATAAATTGGTTTAAAAATTTGGTCAAAGTCAAACAATAATTTCAACTACACATTCATAGCTACAACTCATTATTATCTACACATTTTATGAGACCCACTACTATTTCTCTTACTCTTCCCATTTATAAAAAAATTATAAATTTGTCAAACTGAGACTAAACCATTTATTTATTATAGCACAAAATTCTCAAATTAATCACTTGAAGTTAAGAAGACGAGAACCATCGAACCTGGAAAATTACCAATGTAGATCTTTCCAACATTTGGTTGACACCAAAAGACAACTTCAATCACCCCTAAAAGCATAACAATTTTCTTCTTATCAACATCCGTTTAAAATGACAACCCATAGGACAGTATTATATTTGTTTAAGAAAATTCTCAGTTGCTAAGAAATGATAGACTTACAAGGGTAAGTACAAAGCCTTTCTGGAATTGTTGAATAAGTATGGTAGGATTGGGGTAATTCAAAGGCTCCCCCACAAAGAATTACCAAATCCATATTTTACCCAGTCACATTCATTAAATATTTGAGTTAGAAGGGCATTTGAAAATATATTCACTCCAATTCATGTCTAAATACACAAATGATTAAAAACTACCCTTTAACATACTGTGTGATTAAACCACAAATAACAGATCAAAATAAGAAAAAAAATATAATTAAAACCATTAAAATTGAAAATAGTTAATTGCCAATTCTCATACATGCAAAGGTATATAATTGAGCTATCAAAGCTTAAAGCAACTGCAATGACCTTTTATAGAAGGCAACAGCAGACGCAGTCACGGAAGAATTAAGCTGAAGAGAACCCTCCCAGAGCTTTTCATGAACCAAAGAGGCTGCCTTTGCAGGAGACAATCTTTCCTTATCCAAAAATTTGGAAGAACCAGTGGTTATCTTACTTGAATGTGCATTCCCAATTCTGGTCATCAACATGCCTCCATCTTTTACTGAATCCTCTATATATGAATCTTTGATATCCTCATCAGTTGTCTCTGTTTGTTTCATGAAGTTATTATTACCCTCCTTGTGACCTTGTTCTTCAGTACCCGAATTCTCCTCTGCGCTAACACTTCTCAAAACATTTTGTGATGACTTCTGCTTTCCCCTTTCTACGGCTGATACTCTTGAATTATCAGCTAGTTCAGATGGGAGATTACTAATTCCAGAATACATAGAGTCCTGGTGACTTATTCTTAATATGCATGCACTTTCTATCTTACTTTCTTCCTCTGAACAAGTTCTTTTATTGAAGCCATCAGGAAAGCTGATAGCCACTGTTTCCACAGACCTTGAAGATTCAGGCGCTACTTTACCAATGTCAGATGATACTTTGGGTGTTCCATGCTTCTTGATCCCATACATCACTATATCGTCCTCAATGTGAGTATTCTCTATGGTAGCATTGCATGATCTTGGAAGAGAAGGAAGTGTAGTTCCACTTCTACTAAACATACTATAACCGTCTGGTGCACAATTTAATACTTCAGGTGTCTTCCTGGCCAGCGTCTGATATAGTGAAGAACAACCTTCACGCTTTGGAGATTGTGATGAGAGGGTAGAAGGGGGATTGCTGATTACATTGTGATACAAGTACCCATTTCTAGTGGACCGTGGTTCAAGTGAATAACTCTGACAATGAAGTTGGTCCATCTGAAATTGATTCCTGATAGTATTTGATTCCAAGGAATGACTTGGATACAACAATGATTGATGAGTATGTCTTTGATCGCCTGTCCATGAAAATGGACCTCGTTGCTGGTTTAACTCGTAAGGAATTTGATTTCCCAATTTAGCTTCTACATCAGAAGCTCTTAATTTCCTTTTCCGAGATGATGGGTCAAAATTGTCTGTATCATCATTTCCTGAAGGTAGAATTGTATTATTTTCCATAGGAGCCCCTAAGTCTTTAAGGAGAATGAATTGATCTTCCTAGTAAAATAATAAGCTCTAGCCTCTAGTTCTGAATTTCAAGAATAAATTTCCTGAAAGCCCTAGCCTTTCCAAGAGATCATGTTGCTATAGGTCATATGCTGAACAAGAGCTGCAAACAGAACAAAGTTAATTGAGTAAAATAATAACCAAGTCATACCAAAATAACCAGAAGTAGGAACAGCACTAACATGAAAGGATACTTATAAAGAGAGGAGAAATTTATAGACATCTTCTGCAGCTATTTAAGAATATATTCCATGGAAACTAATGGAAATAGCGTACATGCATAAAAAAATCCTTAAAAATTCACAAAAATATTGGTGTCCAAGAAGGCTTTGTTAACAGGTTACTGAAAGAATGATACCAACCAAGTTAATGTTAATGACACTCCTAGAATTCCTGCAACTTTAAAAATAAACATTTTATTTAATCAGACACTACTTTAGCAATGCTCACGCATGAGTCAAAAACTTAAAATCCAAACCCATTCAATCTTCAACATTGCGTTACATTGATCTCCAATATTGAATGAAGCCATCAGATATATTCAATGTAACTCAATTTAGAAAGAAAAAGTAATAGATCAATAACTCTAATAAAGTAAAACAAAGGTTCGAATAACAGAACATACGGAATAAATTCATTCAAGTAGTTAATTACACTTTTACATGACATATATCAATTCTTTGCTTCTAGGCAGTTGCTTGAATTTTTTACTGCAGAATAAAATTCCAGAGAAACCCTTACAAATATGAGTAGAATTTGTACATAAAAAATTTATTACATATCTTAGCCACATAAATTTCCATGAACCAAGAAGATATACCGATGCTGACACAACATAGATTATAGAGGCCAAGATCCGCGAAAATAAAGTCTCAGCAGACCCAAGTTTCTCCAGAATAACAAGTCCATGATCAAGAAACAATCAATTATTAGAAACAAATACAGAAAATTACACTCTGGTAAGAAAATCAGCTGAATTTCGTATACGCAAATAAATCCAGTAATCAGTTAAATTAAAGAAACTCATTAATCATTGTAAACCGAAAAGGGGCATGCGTGTTAGAGGATTTAGGCGTATACACTTGCACGAATTAAAATTAAAATCCTACACAAAAAATTTAATAAGACACAGTTGAGAGTGAAGCCAAATCAAATTACTGACTTGCAGATTGGGTTTCGAAAATTGGTACAATTGATTTCCTTTGAATTGAGTCCCTCTTATCTCTTGAATGCAGATTTCAGTACAGTATAGGCTTATAGCATATACTGAAGATTCGAATAGATAAAAGGCGTATCAAATAATCCATGGGCAAGTTAATGGGCCTCCACTAAGGAAACTATTCTTCAATGATGGGCTTCGAGTTCAATATTTGGTCATACAAGTATATGCTTGGCAATCATACTTTTTAAAAAGTGAAAATTACACCCAATCAGAATTTTAAAGATTCAATTTCAAAAATTAGATTTAAAATTTATTTATACAAAAATAAGATATTAATTCAAATCTTTAATAATACCTAAATCCTTAAAATCTCAAATCATTTCCCACTTCTCTCTCTCTCTCTCCCTTCGGTGGATCTGACATCAACAAGTAAAAGAAACGCTGATTCAACGATCGCAACTGGTTTGGGCACATGGCAACTGCACACGATCATTGCGCGAAGTCGGCGTGTGAGGTTGTGTAAATGGTTGTAGTGCACCGACATCCCTCACTTCTCATCTCATTCCTTCCATTCTCCATTTTCTATTTGTCGCGACGTGTGGGGTTGTGTAAATGGTGGTGGAGGTGGTGTGTTGTGGGTGGTGCGGTGTGTAGTGGTGGTATATTGTGGTGGTGGTGCGGTAGGTGAGTGGTTGTGATGGAGATGGTGGTGATGAGGGCAGTTGTTGTGTTTGTGGATTGGTGGTAATTCTGGTGGCAATGTTGGTGGTGATTGTCGGCGATGGTAGGGTTGGGGATTTTTTTTTTTGGGTTGTAAGATGGGGGGTGGTAGAGGAGGAGGTTATGTGGTTTTAGTGGTGGTGGTGCGGTGGTTGTGGGTAGGTAGTGATGGTCGTTGTGATGTCGGTATTTTTAGATGATAGTTTGCTGCCGGAAGGTGGTGGTGGTTCTGGCTACGGGGTTTCGGTTGCCATGCTGTTGGTGGCAATGATGAGGTGGTAATCACAATTGTTGATGGTGGTCACAGATTATTTAGTTGTTTGTAACCATTAAATTGATTAATCTGTTGCCGATAAACAATATTCGATCAACGAAAAAGATAAATTGTGACAAAAAAATAATGTGCGACCTAAAAAATTGTTAATTTGTACCGGCAATTTTAATAATTTGTGACTGTCTAATAAATTGTGACTTATATTATTTGTGATTTGTGACCTATAAATAAATTTTGATGTTTCAATTTTTGAGTTGTGACCTATAAATTTTTTGAATTGTGACGTTAAAATAATTTGTGATATATAAAATTTGTGATTTATGACCAATAAATAATATGTGACTTATTGATTTTATTAATTTATGACTGATGAAAAAATTATGACATATAAAATTTTCAATTTGTGATTATGAAATAATTTGTGACTTATAAAAATTTTTATTGTGACCGAGAAATAATTTGTGATCGATTAATTTATAATTCGTGACAAAATTATATGGAATTGTAACTTTAATATATTTAATTAATAAAATATATGTTTAATTAATTTATTATAAATAAAATTTAAAAAATTCGATATTTGAAATGGGTGAAATTTAACCTTTTATTTATGATTTTTTCCTTTTAAAAAAGAATTTTGAATAATAATTTTTAGAATAATGCATGGTTAAAAAGTATGAATTTTTTTTTAATTTACTGCAAAAAATATTTTATTGTGTAAATGTGTATAATTGAAAATAAGTATATAGAAAAAAGAGTTTGGAAATTATTGTTGTCAAACAGGGGGCTTAGATTTGCTAGTTGATTTTTGACATCGTTCGAGAGAGAGAGAGAGAGAGAGAGAGAGAATCAAAATTTTAATATATTTTAATAAAAACCAATGAAAGTTGATAAAAATTGTTGATCCTATAAAATATCGTTAAAAATGAGTTTGAAAAAAATAATTTTTAGAAAATAGTGGCCAAAAAGACTTGATAATAAGTATTTATAATATTTTTAGTTATTTGAGGATCGGTCAAGATTCGAAAGAATTCAATTGCTTTCAATTTGAGAATTTTAGTAGTTCGAGAAATGTATTTGCAAATTAAAACTGTCAGTTATGCCTCCTGTTTGACAACTGTTATTTGGAAAAAATAATGTTTAAAATAGTGATTTTTAGAAGAAAATGTGATTAAAAAGGAGTTGAGATTTGTTGCCCAACTTTTGCTATCCTACTTACTGTTCATCGAATTAATTATTGATTCATTATTTTTAAATTAATATATCATCTCAAATTTATTCTCATTAATTTAACCATTAACTTGTCAATAATTGATTTAGTGAACAACAAGTTGGATAACAAAAACTAGACACCATATATCAATTCGTTAAAAAGTAGCAAAAATTTTGAATTTACGTACGAACTATTGTTAGACGAAAATCTCGCAAGCGTAAGAGTTCGTTGTACAAGTAATAATTGTGATGAGTGAGTTATCGTCCCACAGGGAATGAGGCTCAATTTTAGAGTATTCGATATATTTAAATTCGCAAATGTAACAAAAGATGGTTGATTTTTAGTTGACTACGTTCTATAACTACGAAAGTAATAAAAAA